CCCAAAACCCCAAAACCCCAAAACCCCAAAACCCCTACTTTTAAACATCAAGTTGAATAATTTAATTTGACCATGTTCATTGTGTTGGATTTGTGTGACAAAAAGCGATGTTCAACAGAGCTGAAGAAACAGTTGAAGACCACCCCTGCTCCTCTTTGGACTCAACTTTGTATTCTTGGAAAGTAGCACACTCTTTGGTCATGACTGAGATCCCCTCTGCTCAGTTTTGGAGGAGAATATAGGCTTTTCTAATAATCTCATGGGTTGTTTCATATGCTTTACCGAAATACCAAGGCTTATTATACTCTATGAATTAACCCCTGCTCAATTACCATGTATCAGCTGTTTTAAAGTCGGAATTTGGTTCCAATATCTCTTGGCTTGAGTGCAAACTTGGACAACCATCTTCCCCAGTTCCTTCCCAATAGGTGTTCCGATTTCATGATTTTTCTTCTGGATTCTTAACTTGACAACTTTCAGTCCATTGATCCTCTTCTGTGGGACGTAGACTTTCTTTATAGTTGTCTATGATATTGTTTAATATGCTAGGAAGATTGGAAAGTTTAGTGCAAAAATGACAAGTCTTCTAAATCTTATGATCAAGGAATATGGCTTTGCTTTAAAACTGGCTTTGACTACCGCAAAAAATTAGTTTAGGCTAAAATATAGCTTTTGATTGTGGCGATTTAGAGGCTAGAGATGCCCAATACATCTAATCGTGACAATAAGTGTATATATTAGTACTATCTAACATCTTAGCAATTTTATACCTGACAAAAGCTAGTTTCAGTGATTCCTCGCTGATCATACCAAAAACTACACTGAATTATTTTTAAAGTTAATGTTCCTTTCTTGGAATTTCCAAATATCCACTACAAATTCACTCAAATTCCTAAACCCTCCCTTCCCAGTAAGCCCCGGCTCCAAAACCCGTACTTCTCCACACAAAATTTCCTTTGGCTTCTGAAGAGTGACTGCTTATTCGTGCCCTGACTTACAACTTCAAGGTGGACTCTTCTTACTCTGGTCGGAGCTTGAGGTATGACCACTGTTTGGATTGTATTAGTGCTTCCTTCGGATTCTTCAGTTTTTAGTCCTATTCTTTCAGAATCTTGATTCATTGAGTTATTTTCGGACTTAAAATTCTACAGTCGTGTTCTTCTGAAGGAGCTGAACTGGATGCTCAGTAGTAGGTAATACTGGAGGAACGAACTGGGGAGATAGCCTGGCTGCTAGGGCCTCCTGCATGGAGGGGTACAAGAGAATGCAGATACAAGGGAGGATGACGAAGAAGACAGCGAAGACAGCCAGGAATTTACCAGACAGGTTGGTAGGGAAGGTGTTTTTATTGTGAGAAGTTCCATTGGGATTGATGGAATGTTCTGAGTCAGATGAGCCTGAGTCTAAAGTAATACCTTGAGTCTCTTGAATCTCTATTGAAGAATGTTCTATGTGAGCCTTACTTTCGACTATGTTGTCTGGGATTTCACTCATAATTTCTTCGTAGTCCTTTTCTTCGTGAATTTGATTCAGTTTAATATATTTTTGGGGATCATTTTCTTCTGATTTGCATACTTCCTTATATTTTTGATCGATCTAGAGAATAATCAGAGGGAGCTTGTAGTAAAGTCAACCATTACACTGAACTTTTCCAAGGGTTTTATCCTAACTTTGTCTCTGATCTTCTTTTGCTGCTTTGATAGCCCTCTAAATTATTAGTAAATTTTAAATACTTTTTAGTGGTACTTAATGGTCTCTTACAGCCATAACAAGCTTCACCCTCAACGAGCATTTTGGAATAATGGTTATTTTCAGTACAAAGAGTAAGAAAATTGATCTAAATTTCCAGAAATTGGTCTATTTTTGTTATTAGAACTCTGGATTTCCTAAATCAGTTATATAATTTACAGTGCAAGTAGTGCAGGATACTGGATGCACTGGAATGTTCCCACAGTACAAGCACAACATCTGCTCTATCTCTTCCTCTGATACTCCGATCGCCCTTGACGGGTCAAAGGCAAGGCATTCTACATTAAGCTTATACTTCTTCCAAGTTGGGCTGCACATTAAGAGATATAAGATACTGCATTGGAGTCTTTGATTCTTCCATTTTACTTTTATTTTTATCCGCTAAACTTATTTTGGGGTTTTGGGGTTTTGGGGTTTTGGGGTTTTGGGG